AAAAAAAAAAAATCTAACTTGTAAAACCAAGTAACCAACAATTAACGATGATATTTTCGGCATAATTTCAAAATTGGTCCTATAATTTGGTCACTTTCCAAAAAACCACCCCGATATTGACCACTTTCAAATGTGGTCCTATAATTTGACATTTTATTCAAATTTAGTCCTTTTTATCTGGAACATGGAATAAAATGTGATTAAAAAATGACCAAAATGTCAAATTATAGGACCAAAATTGATTACAAAAGGACCAAATTTGATTAAAATGTTAAATTATAGGACCAAGTTTAAAAGTGGTCAATATCGGGATGGTGTTTTGAAAAGTGACCAAATTATATGACCAATTTTAAAATTATGCCACGATAATATAGCGCCCACCCACCCACGTATATATATAATACCAACAAGGCCTCATTTATTCAACCTACCACAAAATTCCACATACAAATGCAAGTAACAACATTTTTTAATTTTTCTCATTCAACATCCATTGTTGTATAAAAGTAAACATGGCGAACGAGAGGTGGCTATTGCTAGAGAAGCTGAAAAGGGCCGTAAAGAAAATCAACTTCCTTATAAACTTCAACCTAAATAAATGGAAGCTCGCATCCATTATTGGGGTGTCTTCCGGCAAGAAGAGGCTGAGCTTCAACAACCGGCCCGGATTGAGGGCCTGTGTGGATGACGAGGGCCCGCTTGAACCGAACAACTCGGGCTCATCAAATGGCCGGAGCCTGCAGAGGACAATAAGCTACCCGTCATCAGAAGACGATATTAATAAAAGGGCAGAAGCTTTTATTGCAAACTTCTACAAGCAGCTTCAGTATGAGAGGCAAATATCATTGGAGCTTAGGTACTATAGGGGTGATAGTTTTGGTTCTTCATCTTCTCAATGATGATATGATTTTAATCTAGACTTGTTATTTTTTTTCCAATGGAAAACAAATGTGAAGTATGTTTAATTGTTTTTTTTTTTCTTTTTTGATCGTTACGATGTTGGTATATGTGTTCTAAAAACATTCTTTTAGGACATATATACATTACCACATTAATACTATATTGAATTATAATTATAATATTGTAACTAATTAAATAATTATTTGATTTGCAATATATTAATTAATTGCTTCTTTGAGTTGATACTGTCATTAACAAAATGAGATGTTAATTGATAAAGTATAACTCTCAAATCGCCACTATCGATGACCATTAAAAAAGAAATATTAATGATACACGATAGATTAACATGTGGTCTGCATCATATTCTTGAAGAATATAGGATGCCCACTACAATGAATAATTGTTATTCTCATGGACACATGGATAATTTGGAGAGTATTGGTATACCCTACCGATAAACCATTTGTTTATGTGTCTATGGGAGTATCGAAGTGTGAAATGCTGTAATAGCCAATTTGACTTGGTGTCAATACACAATTCATGTATAGAGTGATTTACTTAGCCCTAGTCCAAAACTTACGCTCCTTATGGAGTAGACACGTGCTTGTATTGGGTAGATCACAATATGCATGGAACTGGTGGCTGAGCAAAGATAGGATTTATTCATCGAATATAGTGTCGTGAGAACACTTGTTTTTTCTATACTGGATTGATAAAGTCATTGGCCAATACACGTGATTATATTTGAAATGGTTAAATATAATTAAATAAAATCAACCAGTACGATAAGATAAAATGATTAAACTATTTTGATAGACACACGTTCATGTCCTAAGCTTCATCGAGTCGTTCGTGAATAAGGGACCATAACACTATCGAGTTATATTGTAACACCCCGCCTTATCTTAATTATCAGAGTACGTATTTACTAAAATCTTTTATTAAAATATTTGAAAATCGTGATTCAGAGTGCTACTAAAATCATTCACATTACTTTGAAATCTGTTACCGCTGTTTAATTTTTAAAGGAAAACGGATTTATCATAATATACAATCTGACTGTAAATCGGATCAAAATGGATAAGTTTAACAAACAGTGTGATCAGCGGAACATAGTGTGGCAACCATAATATGTACAATCAAAACTCCGATCCAACCGCCAGTCTCACAGCTCCGGACCGACTTCATCACTTGAAAAATATGATAAAAGTGGGATGTGAGTACCACTGTACTCCGTAAGAACTCATACTAAAGTAAAAAAGTAACCATAATAGCAACATCATGACCATAAGCATGTAACATAACCGTGAATTTCCTAGTCAACAATATAAACCGGACTAGGATCCGTGAATCTACCGGCTGCCATGATAACATGATAATAATAATGATAATGATAATAATAATCTCAGCCGGAATCCATGTGCACAAACTAGTGGGAGATGACGCCACTAAAACCCAGAACGGAATTATGGCAACATGAACCGACCAACATCCATTCTAAGCAGAACCATAATTGACATACCTTGAACATGATACCGTAATTATAATCAATGTAATAACCAGTCTGAGTCCCCACCTGTACTGAAGATATGAAATTGGAAGTGATGATGTCGTGAACTGGTCAAACTGTAACTTAATATAAACAATTACTAAGTACTATGCTCGGATTCAATAAATTTAACTGTTAAGATGCTCGACTTGATTTAATATGATATCTGGACTTAACCAGTATAACCGGAATCGAATAAATATTGAAACCGGGCTGATATGAATTTACTGAATATTACCGGACTCAGAATTTGACTGAAAAATTGACTTGATCATAAATTGAGCCATTCAATATGAAAGCTAACCCAAACCGATCTAAACCGATCTAAACCGGCCGATTTATTGACTGGCCAGACTGCCGGCCTGCCGTGACCGGACAGTCGGCCGCTGACTGAGCCAACTGGCGTGAACGGCGGTGATCGGCCAATGACTGCCCTGCTGCCGGGCCAAACTGGCGCAGCTAGGCACGATTGGGCCTGACCGTGGCCAATCGCACGTGATGTCGTGCGAACGGGCGTGCGGTTTGGCGCGGACAGGCGCCAACTGGGCACTGCTGGGAACTATCGGCACCTCAGACAGGCGACTGGACGCTTGGTCACGCGGTCGGGCGCTGACTAGCGTCGACTGGGGCTTAACTGGCACTGCCGAGGCCCGCTGGCTTGAAGCTGATCGCACTATCGTGCGTGAAGATGCGCCGGCGTGCGCTGAACACTTGCTGACCGACGACTGATGCGGACAGAGGCCGTATGTGATGCCCGGCTGGACATACACGCACAGCGCCCGCCCGTCTGCCTGACTGCCGGCACGCACGGCAACTGTGTGCGGCAGCGTGCACACGACCGGCCCTTGCCGGCCGTTCGGCAACTTACCTCGACCAATATGACATAACTTTACATGAGTAACATATTTATAATTAAATTGGTCTGAGGATCAGAACAATAACATGAACTTTGATTTAATTAAACATGATCGGCAACGACGTGCACGATAAACGCAACCGACGGCCTTAATTCGAACCCTCGACCGACATGAACTTTTCTTGAGCAATCTTAAGAGACTGACCATAATACACTATTTAAAGGCTGTTGGAACATGAATCGCTCGAATAAACATGATTGCAATGAAAGATAACTTGATAAGGTATAAGACGGCCCGTGGGCGTGCGCTACGTGTGCAGCCCACTTCCTTAGGCCAATTCATGGACAAAACAACAACTTGTCTCGAGCTATCTTTCTTGACTGAACATAAAATGACTTGAAATGGTTAAATATACGTGAATAACTCGGGACTTGCTGGTAGATTTTTTTTAAAATAGCCCGGAGAGGGCTTATATAGCACCTCCGAGGTTGTTTATGACCTAAACGTGAACCGAACAACATGAAAAGGACATGATCTTACTAATATGGACTTAAATACATGAAAAGAGGGTAGTTAAGAGTGTACCCTTCAACTCGCTCGAGAAACGTACGGTGACTTGCGTGCTTGCTCGGTGCTTGAACGCTATGCGTGTGTGCTCCTCTTAGCTTCGGCTACTCTTAGCAATTTTTGTATGATTTTTACCTAAATTTTCCTTACTATTTTCTCTTAGTTCTTATGCTGATATTAGCTTGGTTTTTTTGCATGGAAGATGCATGGGAAACTCACGACATTTGGGCTATTAATATAGGAGGTGAATGATGATGCTAAAGTATGGTTAAATGAGGTCATGCCACTTGCTTTTACCACACGATTTGGTGGCTAAATTCAGGCTTCATCATCACCTTATGTGGCACAATGAAGGCTAGGTGGCGTCCCAACACAAGGCTTAGTCATCCCATGGAAGCTCAAGCTAGGCCATGTGTTACAAGCTAGTAGGTGAGTCACACTTACCACTTGAAATATTTTACTACTTGAAGTAAATCCTCATGGCATTTGAGAAGGCTTTGGGCTTGGATTAACTTAACTTGATCATGAGGTTTAGTAACATTTAAGCTAAGTATGGACGGAAACTACCATGCGTGGTGCATGTGTGCTATGCACTACAACGTGCATGTGCTATGACGTGTGTTTTCGAGACTTAGTCATGAACTCGATTTCGAAATTAAATTCGAACATTCTTAACATCTAATAATTAATCCCGATTAATAATGTCCGTTTATAAAATAAACGGTTCAGAAATTAATTATCAAATTCGACTCGGTTAATAATTCAACCGAATAGACTTACGACTTAAAGTCGAACTTGATTAACTTAAACGCTGAATATGAACGAGGTTAATAAAAGAAAATACATCACTTTTATTTACAAGAAACTGGACTATCACAATCTACCCTCCTTAAAATATTTCCGCCCTCGGAAATACAAAACGGGGCGTATATAAATGAAACATAAAAGGACATATACATCAGAACTGAAAATCAGGAAAACGAGCGCGAATATCAGCCTTCTGCTCCCAAGTGGCTCCGTGGCGATTCCACTGAATACGAACGAGGGGAACATCACGCTTCCGGAGCCGTCGAACTTGTCGGTCCAACACAGCTACCGGTCGCTCCTCGTAAGATTAATCTGGATGGATCTGAATATCGGTATGGGGAATGACATGATCGGGTCGCACACGTACTTGCGTAACATGGATACATGAAAAACATTATGAACACTGGATAACTCGGGAGGTAAGGCTAATCGATACGCAACGTCGCCCACTCGCTTGAGCACTTCGAACGGGCCAATGAATCGAGGGTGTAACTTCTCTCTCTTCCCGAATCGAATAACTCCGTGAAATGGACTAACTCTGAGAAAAGCTCGCTCGCCAACCTCGAATTGAATGTCTCGTCGATGATGATCGGCTGAAGATTTCTGTCGACTCTGAGCCGTCTTGAGTCTCTGGCGGATCAACTCGACCTGTTCTGCCGTTTCCTCGATCAATTTCGGACCGAGTACTCGAAGTTCACCGACATCATCCCAATAAAGAGGGGAACGGCATTTACGACCGTAAAGTGCCTCGTAAGAAGCCATCTGAATAGAAGAATGATAACTGTTGTTGTACGCGAACTCAACATATGGCAATAGCGACTCCCACTTAGCACCCCTGTCAACAACTAAAGCACGTAACATATCCTCCAACGTCTGAATGGTCCGCTCTGTCTGACCGTCAGTCTCTGGATGGTAGGCTGAACTGAATGCTAGCTTCGTGCCCATCGCCTCGTGCAAACTCTGCCAGAATCTACTAGTGAATCTGGGATCTCTGTCTGACACGATAGTAACAGGCACTCCGTGGAGTCAAACGATCCCACGGGTATAAATCTTAGCCAACTTGTCCAAAGAAATATTCATCGATACTGGCAAGAAATGAGCAACCTTAGTCAATCTGTCGACCACGACCCAAATAGCATCGTGATGTTCAGATGACTCCGGTAACCCCGTGACAAAATCCATCGTAACCTCCTCCCACTTCCACTTCGGAATTGGC